CCATGACTATTAATTAATTAATTAATTAAAATAATAATAATAACTTATTAAACTTATTTTAAAAACAAAGAAAAGGAAAAAAATGTAACTTGTCACTCAAATTGTAATTCAAATAAAAAACTAAAATACCACAACTGATTCAAAATTGTCACTCAGATAATTGTTAAATTGTTTTAAAGGTCATTTAAATAAATAAACAAATAAATAAACTTGTCCAAATTGTTATAAAATTTTATGGTTATCAAATAAACACACACACACAAAACTAAAAAAATAAATAAAATAATTGTACACAATTTTAATTAAATGTCACTCAAAATTGTATTAAATTCTCAACTACAAAAATTCAGTATCTGAAATAAAAATATCAGAAAGAAAAAATTAACCTACACATTTTATATCCTACAATGAAACATGTCATTCAAATTGTTAAACTGAAAAATACAAAAATTATCATTTTTTTAATGGTCCCAGATTACAGTCCATTGTTCACTGTGATCTTTATATGCTGGTTTCAGCCAATGTGGCTGGAGCACCGAGCGTCACTGCATTTCTACCTGCCCTTTTCCTCTTTCAGCCAGAAGTTTCTTTCAGGAGGAAAGAAAACACATTAATTTAAACATTAATCTTCAAAAACTATTTTAAATGTCTCTCTCTGCCTTCCCATTACCATCCAGTTGACCACTTCGGTGGAAGCTGCAGCCACGTAAAGTAATTGCTGTGAGGCTATTAAAACCAGTGACCCCCACGACACTTCGTTTAGCTGAAGATACCATTTGAGAGAAAAAAAATATTAACAAGGAGGACACGGATAAACAAAAAGACAATCGCACATATTCCAACCGGCAAGTAAACAAAAGCGACACAAATCTGCAAGCGGCTATTGTTGCTGCGCTATTGTAGGGCATCTATTTGAAAAGCATGCATGGTCTTTAATGGAAATGGCTGGTCGTCGATGGCATTGTTTGGCACTTGAATTGGTGTTTACCAGCGGTGTGTTTAATGGCAGCTAGTCTCATTTCCGACCTTGCTGCTCTTAGCTACATCCACAAGGGTTTGAGAATAATAGTGTTTCTTTCCCACTAGGGGCCGAAGCTAGTGCCAAACAGACGCTCTCCACCTTCACTCCGACCCAACAGTTCTCTCAAACACAGTTTGGGCTCTCCAGAGCCCTGGCTCCTCCAAAACCCTCTCCGCCCCCTTCGTTCCCATAGATACGGACACTATACCCTATGGGAGTATTTACAAGAGCGAGTACAGGCGGGGGCATCGGGGACGGGCGAAATAGAGAAACAGAAAAAAGTGTGGATCAAAGTTCAGCAAGTGTATTTGTTGAATGCTCTGATCTTCATTTACAAAAGAAACCGCATGTCTTTTTCAGATCGGAGGCCAACTTGACATTTAGGTGGTCAGCCTTGACTTATCAGGCTGTTCTGACGATGTCACAGATGAGAGTGTCACAAC